CACCTATGTCAACAAAGGAATTGAAAAGGCCGTTTTTGATGTACCTGGAGATGCTCAAATAATTGTTCTTAATTTTGCTGTAAGTTATTTTTCGAATATTATTCTCAATTTAAGTTCAACATTTTAGAATGAACGTTCTCCTGGTGGCGGGTATTTGAGACATGCCTGTGAGTACTACCTATTTCATAAATATACAGATGCACGAATGCACAAATATAGGAGCTATGCCAGGAAAAATGGAACATACCATTTTCATTTGACTTTGATTCTTTACAAGGATTAATTTTTCTGGATAAATTCCTTTAGCATAGATATATATATATAAATGTTGGCTCTTTTTAGCTGACTATTCATTTTAATTAATTAATTAAGTCGTTAATTAATTAGTTAGTTAATAAATCAGTTAATTAATTAAAAATGATTAGTGAATATCTCTCCAACCATAAGAGAAAAAATTCTTAAAACTTCAAGATAGACTCTGCGACACAATCTGCATCTATGGTGAAATTTTCAGCAAGATTCGATTCTGAAAAACTAAGTTTTCTAAAGACCATGTCAAATTCTGAAACGAAAATTTTTTCTTACTATCATCTAGAGATTTCGAGGAAGGATTTGTGCCGTTTAGAATTGTTTTCGAATTTCTCATTCGTTTATAAGAGCATTATTTCGTTTGTATATTCGTACTTCGTCACATCGCTAAGCAAAAGTAAATCGTTTTTTTTGAAAAACAGGTATGCTTAGAAAAAACTTTGCATGGATATTTTATAGCCTAAGAAGTTGCTTACAGCATGCACTATTTAGTTTTCGAAAACGCTCCCTCAATTCAAGATTTTTGAAAACTAAAATGCATAAAGTGGAAGTCGATGTCCTTTTTGGTGTCATGTCGCTAACGCTAGTTTTTTTTCCTGATAACTCCTTTGAACAAAAACCTTTAGTACTGATTTTTTCAGGATTTCTACAGTAACTTAACATAGATGTAACATATATAAATTAGCTTTAGGAAAGCCTATTAGCCCGAGATACAAATGTTCTAATTTTGCAAAGTCAAGTCGCTAACGAATGATTTTGCCCATATATATATAACATTTGTTTGTAATTAATTTCTCATTAAACTATTGTATTCTGCTAGTCAAATCGAAATGAATATTTTCTATTTATTAGGGGCGCAAGAAGAAATTATACTTTACAATTCCGATGGCTATCGAGCATTGCTTGATCTAAAATATGGACGTATGGGTGGTGGCTATGCTATACCCGAATTTGGGCTTGCTTATGTTCGTGATATATGTTTTTTTGATAAAAAAACTGACAAGAATCGAAAAGCTGATATGCTAGTTTCTGCTTGTTATTGTCTTACTGGCTCACCACAACTTTATGATAATCCAAAAACGGACGAAGAGGTAAATACTTAACACTTAAAAAATGAAGAGCATCTAAACTCGTGTTTGATACATTATGTAAAGCAAAAACTCAATATTTTCACTCAAGCTATTCAGTTTAGATAGTAACACAATTAGTTTTGATTGTTTTAGTGGGAAACAAAAAATTTGGCTAAATTTAATGCATTCATGGCTGCAGCTGTTGCTAATACAA